CACCTGAGCCTCTGGCCTGTACCCCAGTTCTGTATGTACAAATAAATAAATCTTTAAAAAAAAAAAAAAAAACTTGGGCAGGAAGAACACACGGGACTATGGTGATGGCACATAAGTGAAGTGGTGGTGGGAAGTCCACAGGGATTACAACTGGGATGAAAAAATATACAAAATGAAGAATAATGTAAAAAAAGTGTGTGTGTGTGTATAATTAAAAAAAAAAAACATGGATTCCACTGAACAGAAAGTACAGAGTTGAAGTCCCTCCTCCTTATCATCCCTTTTCCCCCAAGCTCAATGTCCAGGATAAAGAGAAGATTTCATGAGTAGATGCTTCTTCTTGACTTCCAAGGATTTTCAGAAAATGCAAGTTGTGAAATGATGTCAGAAGACCAGACAAGATCATTGAGAAATATCAACACATTGTTCATTTGCAGAACTCTGGCTTTCGTAGGTCACCTGCCACTCACCAGTCTCCCTCCTGAATCGCTGCCAAGCGCAGGAAGGACAAGAAGGCTTTCCTGGGGTTGCAACTTGTTCCCTCACAAATGCCAGAGAGACAGATTCTCTGGAGCCTAAGCCAATTAGCACAGGTTGGCCAGGCCCTCTCCCCCACCACTATCCCACACCTCCTCCCTGCCCACTCCCTGTACCTTGCCACACCCAGAGAATGAACCTCCAGGAAAATCAACCCCATACAACACCCTTTCAGATGCCCCTTTCCAACTTCTGGTGGAGATCCTTAGTCAGTCACCTGCTTTTTCTAGGAGGAAGTGTACTCCATATTTAAATATCTATCTATATCTTTATCTATCTATCTATCTATCTATCTATCTATCTATCTATCTATCTATCTCTCTCTCTCTCTCTCTCTCTCTATATATATATATATATATATATATATATATATATATATAGAGAGAGAGAGAGAGAGAGAGAGAGATATCTATATATATATATATAGATATAGATAGATATACACATACACACCACACACAATATTTATCAATGAAGCCCAGAATTCTGGCAGGTGACCTATGAGAGCCCAGAATTCTGCAAATGACCAATGCGCTGATATTTTCCAATGACCTTGTCTGGTCTTCTGACGTCATTTCACAGCTTACATTTTCTAAAATCCTGGGAAGTCATGAAAAAGCACGCATAGGTCACCCCTAAAAAACTCAGATATCCCCACCCCCCAAGGGTAGAATGCTGTAGGTTCAAGCTAGGCTTTCAGCTGCAGGGCCAGAGCGCAAGAAATGTACAAGCAGGAGCCCATTGGTCTGGCTGGCGCATCTTAGTGTTTGTCAGTCATGGGCACGTGCCCTGCTTTCCTGGGTATCCCTGGACACGTCCTATCCAAACTAAAAAAAAAATTATATTCTGAATCCCCTGCCAATGAAAATGGTTGTTTAATAGTCCCTGTTTTCTAACAGTTTATAATCCAGATTTTTTAAGATGAGCAAACATGTAGTTTAAAATAGGTTTTTTAGTTTGAAATTTTGGTGGGAAGTGACAATGATATATAATGTGCTTCTCCTGCTTCGATTAGTGCAGTGAAATGAGCTGAGGGTGGGAATGGTATGATCCAAAGGGCCCTTCAATCAGCCACACACAGCAATTACACCAGAGAAAATCGGGTTAGCTCCCCAGCCCAAAAATCTAAGTAGATTTCTACAGCCCACTGAAGTCTGGGAAATCCATCCACATTCATAACACTATTATCTGTCCTGAGGAAAACCAATTAATGACGATTAAATGCCCACAGACTGAGTTCCAGAACTTCACTTGCCGAGACACATAGTACTTGGCCTAAAGTCATGCACCTACTAGGTAGAAGAGCGAAGACTTCCTGAAAACTACTTGAGACTTGAGCTCATTGACTGTTCAACATGCAGCAGCTTGCTTCCCTGATTTAGGCCCAATAAAATTACAAGGTAAAAGGCTTCTTAATTAAGTCCTAGATTTTTCTTAAATCCAGTGACATGAACAACCTACCAAAATCCAATCAAGAGACATGTTTTCCATTAGATAAGAAAGATCACTACCCCAGACCTCCCTGGTGGCCTAGGGGTAAAGTCTCAGCACTACCACCATGACAGCCAGCCTGGATGGTCTGAGTTCAGGCCAGGGAGCTGACCCACATGGCGCGGCAGACCTCTCCTGACCCACCCGCTGCTCCCCTCAGCAGTGTACTTCGTTGGTCTGCCTGTTCTGCTCCCCACTCTCTCTGGTGAATCTTCTCACCCACCCCGACCCACATCTCTGGCCTGTACCCCAGTTCTGTATGCACAAATCTTAAAAAAAAAAACAAACTAAAAATCAACCACAGGATGGAACCAGTCGTATATTCAAGCTTGATACTAGCTCTATTGGAAACAACATCAACAACTGGCCCTGTATTTTTATATTATTATATTTTGTATACTATACTCACTGCTAATTGTGGCCTAGTGAATTACTGAGTTTCCAGGAGCAAGGTCTTAAATTCGGAGGAGAGTCCTCTTAGTAAATGTCTATTTGGACCAAGAGATTTTTCATGACCTGTTAAGTCGAAGTGTTCAACGCTCAACTGAAAATGTAGATTGGTGTCCTGTGGTGAGATGTAAAATTAAACTCTGCGACTGTCCTCATACAGTTCCTTGCAAAAGAGCAGCCAAAGGCAGCTGCCAGCCTTGCCCAAAATAAAACGTCACCCAGTATCTCGGGAGGGGTATCAAAGGCAACTGGGCAGAGCGCTCAAGGAGCCGAGAGTGTGAGAGACACCTCACAGTTACCGGGCAAGACATCAGCAGGTGGAGGAGGGTTAATGGG